CCTCATTTTCCTTAGTTCAGCCTCCCCTTCCTTCCTCCCTCAGGAAGAGTCAGTAGATGACCTGCAAGTGCCCTTCTGATACTGCAGGAAAATCTAAGTGTCACCTAAAGCTTAGTTATCTACTGGTGATACTTGACCTAAATCAAAATGCACAGATCCAAACTCCAAACTAGAAAGCAAAGGAACATGTAGAAACTAGTCAAATTTTAACGCTTTTAAATCATCTCCCACTTCAAGTTCCTCTCAAAACTATAAATGATGGACAATGGCATCCTTGCTACCAATAGGTGGCCCTGCATTGAAAGATCTTAATCCTGTTAAACCACATTAAAATGTCAGTGGTTTCTGTAAGTAGTTTGAAAAATGTAGCAAGAAAAACAAAAAGAAGATAGTAATAAAAAATGCAGTAAGAAAGAAATTTCTCAAAACAAACACCCACAATCTTGAAAAATCCCTCTATTAATCCTTCTGCTCTTTTCCAAATCCTCTCCTGTTTCCCTCCTTCGTCTGTCAAACTTAAAAGATATGTGATCCACCCCACTCTTTTCTCCTGAGGTCTTCTTAGCCCTCAGCAGTTGGACTTCCTTCCTCATTGCTCTGCTGAATCTTCTCCAGTAGTGCTTTATCTGTCCTCATTCTCCTTGCTCTTTTGTTCGCCTCTGGCACTTCTGACCTGTTCCTTCCCTGCTTAAAATGTCTTACTTGGTGTCTGATATTCCAGAGTCCTCACACTTGCAACACTGACCACTAAGTGCTAGAGACTGCCAGTTATCTCCCAGTATCCATGCTCCTCTTCTTCCTCAGTCACAGAATCTCCTAGTGTCACTTGAGTATATGACTGCTCAAAATAACGATTTCACTTCGAGCCTCCCTTGTGGCTGAGGAAGAGCAGGTCCATATGATACAAGCAAGAGTGGTGTGCACAATTGCTGGAAAGCATCCTTAAAGGAAGACGGTGCATTCTCTAGTCTTTTTTCTCCTTCTCGTATGTTGGGGTACAGTTGTGATGGCTGGAGCTAGAGCAGCCATAGGTTATGAAGCAATACTTCCTGATACAGGCTATAGAGCCCTGGTCTACCTTCTCAGAGAGAGAGAGAAATAAACTTCTCATGAGAGAGAAATAAACTTGTATCTTTTAAAGTCACTGTTATTTTGAGTTTTCTTTTACTTGTAGTCAATCCTGGTTCTCGTTAATGCATTTCTTCCCAACTACTGCATACATACTCCTTATCGCTTCAGCTAGACTGTATGCTCTTTGGGAATATAGGTTCTGATAAAAATACTTAATGACTGACCTAGATTTCAATGGACTTATTATGATATAATTCTGGATGGGCCACTCTTTTTAATACTAGTTGGGGGTGGAACAAAATAGTAGATGAAGGCTCTCAATAAAAGAGGCCAAAGTAAAAGATGATTTAGATGTTCTCAGAGTTACTGTTTTACTCCCTCTTTTTAGTAGTCGTGCTAAAAATTAATTCAGACAATGGGAAAAAGACTTAAGAAAACAGATATTATTCAGGTACATAAAATAATATCAATTAGGCTGTGTTACCAAATAGAGGTTTTTTAAAAAACAAACCTTGAGTGAACGAATGGGATTTCTAACTACTTTATCAATCATAGAGGTGTAACTTTTTCTCCAGTCCTCTGATTTCTATGAGAGAAGCTTCTCTAAACACACTCCTGGCTTCCTGGCCTCGCTTACTTTACTCATTCTCCAGGAGATGGAGGGCTTATCTGATTGATAAAATTTGAAAGAATGACTAGGGCTATCTGGCTCAGCAATTCTCTTCTCCCTCTCAAGGACAAGTTTATCCAAGGAATACATACTGCATTTGGCCCATGAAGATGAACAGGCAGGTAGACTATGTATTCCCCTTTCAATTCAATTTGACTTCTTAGTTAGTAAAGCCTTTGCTCACAGTGATCTTAAATGAACTTTAGCTTAGTTCCTTTCCCATCCATTCTTAATTCTGAATTGGTGAAACCTAAAAGTTCTGTGTCTTTGTCAGTTTTCAGGCACAGGAAAAAAAATTTTTTTTTAATTTTTTTTAACATTTATTTATTTTTGAGAGACAGAGAGAGACAGAGCATGAGCGGGGGGAGGGGCAGAGAGAGAGAAGGAGACAGTATCTGAAGCAGGCTGCAGGCTCTGTCAGCATAGAGCCTGATGCATGGCTCAAACCCACAAACTGTGAGATCATGACCTGAGCCGAAGTCGGATGCTCAACTGACTGAGCCACCCAGGCGCCCCAAAAACAAAATTTTTAACAGCAATAGCAAACCCTTATGTTTCACTTATCAATACACCAGGAGTTAAGTTCTCCCTAATGTTTAAATCATATCTCAGCAGTGAAGCAATAACAGTTCCCTGGCTACCTGACAAAATTCATGAGTCTCCCTACAAATTCAACCTTTCCACAAGATAGTAACTGGGGCCTGAAGGCAAATATACCCCCACCGTATTGGGGTGTTCATACTGCCTATGAAATTCTATTGTGTAAGACACATAATGACACAATCCAAGCATTCCTGTAAGGAAACTAGGTGTTTATATTTCCCAAGAGGTAGGTTTGCTTGTACTTGTTCTTTAAATTATAAAGTGTTCTAGTCTGATTAGGGAAACATTATGAAAGACCACTTTGGCTCAGGTCACTAAACCAAGTACTTTATACATTCTAATTCATTTAAACTCTCTGTAGTAAGTGAGAAGCTGTAATTGGGGAAGTTAAAAATTAATTGCAAAGGTCTCTCAGTAAGTGGAAGTTCCAACACTTGAACCTAGGCCCAGCTCCAAAGACCCTGCACACACCACTATATTATACAGTCTCAAAGGACTCAATGCAAGCCTTATGGCAAAGTTCCAGATCTTTTCTTTTACCTCATTGGTCCTTGGCACTACCTTGCTATCTGTGGTATGATGCAAAAATATTTTGTAGGCCTTCCTATCAAGAGGTGGAGTTTATTTCTCTACCCTTTGCCTCTGGGCTGACACACAAGACTTGCTTTAACTGGAATGTGGCAGAAGCAACATCAGGAGAGTTCTTAGCCTGAGTGTCAATAAGCCTTGCAGCTTTTGCTTTTGTACTCTTGGAACCCTCTGCCACCAAATGAACAAACTCAGAGCCTGATGGTGAATGAGAGGCCACATGGCGCTGAGATGAGTCATCCCTGCTGAGGGCCCCCATGCAGGGAGTTGTCCCGGCTGCTGACCTCAAATGCACAAATGATCCCAGCCAAGACCAGAACCACCTAGCTTTGCCCAGCCCAAATTCTTGGGCCACAGAATTGTGAGCAGAATGGTGGTAGATTTTAGCTACTAAGTTTTGGGATAGTTTGTTATACAGCAAAAGCTAACTGATACATCTTCTCAGCCACCCCTCCTAATTAAAAACAAATGGAGATAGGCCCAAAGGCCACTGAAAAGTTTACTGACCACTGCTTATTCATATACTCTGCTATTTTCAAGTCCAGTCTAATTCACTGTTAGAGTTCCCTAAACCCAAATAAGCTGGGTCTTCAAGCAGCTGACAATGACCTGGTCTATCTTTCTCTTCTCTTAGGCTCCTTGTGGCAAGGTCAACTTCTCACAACTCTTTATATCTAGCACAAAACCTTCCTTTTATCATAGATTCACAATAAAATGTCCAAATCAGTAGAAGAGATATTAACCCTTAGGGGAGTTAGAACTTTGAAGCTTTGAAGCACAGTGTAATGATAGTCATAGTCATAAAATTTAGCAACTTTTGCAAGGGGTGGAAAAAAGCCTTGTGGACTGGCAACTCCAGGGCTTATGAGATTTAGTCCTTGAGTTTCAACTACATTGTTTTTAAAAGCACTTCCTAAGTCTTGAGAGACAGCTCAGGCCAAGTACAGAATCAGCAATTTAAATATGCACAGAAGGCTTTATGATCTATACTTTTTAAGCATGACTAAGTTTTAGCAAAAAATTGGAATCAAGCCTCACACTTAACTGGATGGTGCTAAACATGGAATAATGATGAATTCCTGGTATTAGTGCAAGTTTCACTGGAACAATAATTCTAGAACACCTATCAAAACGTCTGAGAGATTGTCATTTCATGGACAAAATAGGCTTTATCTGTAAAAGATCAGACTTAACTTGTGAAAATTGAATTAGCTCTTATGGCATTTCCCCATTTATACAAAAATGTTTTTATTAATATAAACTCCACATCAATTTTTCACACAGAGTGTTTCAAGTTTAACAAAGGACACAACTCTACTTTAAATGCACCTCAGAGTGTTCCATTACCATAACTACTATCAGCTTAAAAAGGCGACACAAAAAAGCAGTACTTTTCACAATGATTCTGCTTTAAGATATTAAAGCTGAACCTGAAACTTAAGGTTGGTTGCTAAGTCACTTGCAAAAAATTAAATTGTACTTGGTGACTGAGTTGAAAAATGGCTACTCAAAAATGCTGTGGCATCCTCAACTGGACATTAGTCATGTGCACCTACAAACTCAGATGGACAGAAGAGGCATAGATCATCTTTGGAAAAAGAAAGATCACCTACAAGCCGATTTTGGGTATTTTTTACATTTGGGATCTAAGCCAATGAGATAAGATTAGTAGATTCAGGGCTCAAATATGGAATGAAACATGAGGGTCACCATCTACTCTCTCAGTGGTTTGTAATGGCTATTTTCCATAGCACTCCCTTCAGTGGGCCTACTGCTCCTCAGACCTGGGTCCTATGTCAATTCCTAGATGATACTAATTTCATTCATTCATTCAACCAAAATCTGCTGAGTGCCTACTATGCGAAATGCTATTTCCTGTGAGATGATTGTTATGCATCTTCCTGGAAAAAAAAAAAAGGCAAAAGAGGAAGCAGAGAAAAATAATAATCTAGGGAAACGCTTAATCCATGCAAGAAATAACAAGTTTTTCTGAAACAAACATGTAGATAGATTTGTGCTTCATTTAGAATGAATTAAGTAAAAAATGGAATAAATCTTTTACTGGTACCTGTATCCCAATTCTTCACTAAGATGGATCATATGAAGGATATATGATTCCTTGCTTGTTCCAGTGAGGCCGGGCAACAGTAAGATAGTAGGCCTGGTGGTGGCATCCCTATAACACTTACTGTTACAATTATCAAACCAGTCCAGTGAAATCTGTCCTCCATCTGCAGTTTTAATAAGTTCACTAGAAGAAATAGAGGACATACTCATTAAATGTTTCAAGTCATGCTTTAATATTAGTGTCTTTTTTTTTTAATGTTTATTTTTGAGAGAGTGAGAAAGAGAGAAACAGCATGAGCAGGGGAGGGGCAGAGAGAGAAGGAGACACAGAAATCCGAAGCAGGCTCCAGGCTCCAAGCTGTCAGCACAGAGTCTGACACGGGGCTCAAACTCACAAACCGTGAGATCATGACCTGAGCTGAAGTTGGATGCTTAACCAACTGAACCACCCAGGTGCCCCAATATTAGTGTCTTAATTTTATAAATATATGACATGATTTGGTCATCTGAAGTTTTTTTTCAGCATTCACTAACACACACACTTATATCCCTTTGTCTTATTACAAGAATGATATGACATTAGTACCATAAAGTATTTCCAGCAATATCACAAAAAGGTAGCATATAAAAATGAACTGCTAAATACTTCAAATATTTATCTTAATCATTTCCTCATTACTCTAAAATACCCAGCATTTAACCCCTATTTGATTGAGGTCACCCAAATAATTCAGTAGGGAATTATGAATAAGTAAAATACTGATCTGATCGCTGCCCTGGTCCTTTGACTTAACAATGCAGTCTCCCACAGAGTATATTATAAAATTTGTTTCTTAAATATTTTAAAGTATTTCTCACATAGTATGCATGAACTTAAAGATTTTTCTCAAATAAATAGTGCCAGTTCCAGGCAACAAAAGGAACTCCAGAAGGACTAGATGACTCAGGGAAATTAATATTAGGCATCATCTAAATCTCCGGGTTACTGATAAATTCTGGACCATATCTTTAACACCTCAAGGACATTATCATCAAGAACCCATTTGCTTATTAATATGAAGTCCTTTTACAGGAGTCCATCATTAATTAGGATTTGGCAACATCCAAATTAATTGGCATCCTTCTCGACCCCATCCCCACTCCTAGCATCAATGAATTGGTGCATATCATCAAAGGATCTAGGTCCTTAGGGACAGACGCATGCCAAACTAGAAAAGAGTAACTCAAAAACACTTCTCTAGAAATAAACCATTTACATCAAGGCACACACAAAAACAATGGTGAACGGCAATACCTGAATATTTTCCTGCAGCTGTGTGTGTGTGGCGGGGAGCACACCTTCCACTTTCGTTCCCCCTTTCTTTTCTATATGTTTACTAACGAGAGGTTAACCAAGAACGTGGAGTATGCAGGAAAAACCCGGTGGTTTTGCAGAAATGACTGAAAAATGGAAATATACTTACTTCCTGTACTGCACCGGGGGTTTGGAAGTGATGAAAGGTCTCAGGAGTGTCTGTCCTCGACTCTCCCAGCACCAGACCGTGGGGTAGTACGTTTCTGTCACCACGGGACAGTGGTCCTGAAGGAAGCGGTTGAAACTCTCACCCCCCGTCACTAACTGGGGCTTCTGTGGGGAAAGCCGGTGTTATAGTGAAGGGTCTAGAACAAAGTTTCTGCCAACCGTAAACCAGAAATGAGCAGACTCGTCCCTCGCCCGCACGTTCCCTCCGATTACATCTTCTTCTAGAAGCCTGACAAAAATAATTCGCAGTCACAACGGACTTAAAGGGAGGTTTACCAAACTCTTGAAGGGGGAGGCGAGAGCTGAGATAAGGGAGTCGTTGTCAGAAGTGCTACAGCATTGCCAGCCCCGCGAATGGTGACAGGGCAGCCCCGCCGCGCCTAGGTCAGCCGGGTCCTGGCTGCAGTCCGAGGACCCCGGCCGAACCCACAACACGCCGACAAGGGCTGGCCCGCTTTCCCGCGCGCGCTCAAAGGGCGTCCATCAGATATCGGGGAAAGGACGACAACTCAAGCAGCACTCTCGCCTCCAGGACGACCCCAGCCACCCGTCGCTCCAGCGGCAGCTCCAGCTTCACCAGCTGCTGTCCCTCCCAGCAGAGCTGCCCGAGGCCCTGCGCCCCGGCGCCCGCGCCAACCCCCGGCTCACCTTGGCAATGCTGCTCAGGTAATAGAAGGCGTAAGCGACACTGAAGCCCAGGATCAGGGATAAGCCCACACCCGAGCCGAAGAACCCAACCCGGACTTGGTGCTCCAAGTAGAGAGAGAGCTCCCGGGACAGCATCCGCAGGTCCATAGCTAAGCGCTGCATGGCCCTGTGGCGGGAGGCCAACCAGCCGGCGAGCCAGCGAAAGCGGCGCGGGGCTGCGGCGGACCCTCGACCAGAGCGTCTCTTACCGGGCAGAGAGCGGCTTCCGCGAGCGGGCGCGGCCGAGCGGCCCCGGGAGGCGTAACACAGCTGCCAGACGCCGCCGGCTCCGCCCCGGCTTCCCTGGAACCGCCCCCTCCGCCAGCCACTCAGGAATCTTCCAGAGGCGCGGTACCAAGCGCGGCCCCCGTGCGGTGGCGGACCCGGTCTCCAGGTCTGGTCCAGGCATTCCGGGCGACACCCTCCCCTGCTTCCCCCTCCCCTCCCCCCGCCCCAAGGGTGGGGAGCAAGGAAGCATCGGCTTTGGAGAAGGAAATGGGCCTGGCAGTGCGCATTCAGGGCCGGTGCCGGGCAGCAGCCCCAATGACCTTGAACGATTACGCACGGTGGTGGGTCTCAGTGAATCCTTACTGTAAACTAGAAGTTTAGAGTGCCCAGGAAGTGTGCCTTAGATTAAAAAATTGGGGGAGTTAATGCCAAAGATACGCTAGAAGAATGCGCTGTGTAGTGGAAAGAAAAATGCTACATCTCCCAGAAAGTTGTGTTTCCCCTGAAGACTATCAAAAGAGAAAAAATATTCTGTAAACGTCTGATAGTGAGGACATTCATAATTTAAATCTCTCTGAATCCTTTTAGTTAAGTATGCCTTGAATGAGAAGTGGTTACCTAAAATAAGAAGATCAAGAAAATGAACTAGAATTCAAAAAATTTTAAAGCCTATTTGTGGTTCATTAGTGCTTTGAGCTTCTAGACTTACAGAAAATCAGTTACCTAACGTAGGGACAGGAAGCCACTTATGAATGAAGTAGGTTTTCCTAGGTTTATTTATGGCAACATGACTAAAGCTGGAAGATACAGGCATATAAAAGTGCTGGAAGATGTAAAATCTGTTATTATGAACTCTTCCCACTTAGAAGTAACAAGAGTGGCAAGACTTAAACAAGCAAAAAGGAAAAGGTAAGGGCTGTATAGACATGAAAAATTTCACAGTATTGTTCATTAATTATAGAAATTAGTGATAGAGAAATGGAATGGGCCAGAAGTAAGCAATTTATTTGGCTTTGATTTGGTCACTGTAACTTGATGGTTGTCCATACCCAGAATGATTTAGTTGCGTTCACTGAGCCTGTTGTTTTTTGTTTTGCCTTTTTTTTTTAATCTGTATTACAAGAATTTCTACTTTATAGAGTCTTTGGGATGACTGAATGAAGTAATGTATGTGACTGAATGAAGTAATGTATGTGCTGAATATAAGTAATTCTCTTTCATTCACTGGCTCTTGCATCTGAGCACAGCCAGAAAACACATAACACATGCTGGTTGCCATATTTGACAATTTACATGCAAAATTCTTTATAATGCCTGCACCCACCTTCTTCTGCCCCGCCCATCAATAAATACATATATATTTCATTTGCTTAAGTTTAAAGTGAAAATACTGAAAATGCTTCATTACCATAATGGTGTGTAGAAAGCATGCTGACCTGGGAGTAAACAACTCTGAACCCACCAAACTTAGGCAAACCATTTACTCTTTTGGACCCTCAATTCCTTGTCTGTAAAATAAGAAGGCTGAAATTGAAGATACCAAACTTTATTTCCTGTTAGAAGAACATTCACAAACTTCCTTAAGATAAGAATATTCCAATTTAGGGGCACCTGGGTGGTTCAGTTGCTTGAGGTCCAGCTTCAGTTCAGGGGCATGATCTCACAGTTTGTGGGTTCAAGCCCTGTGTCCAGATCTGTGCTGACAGAGCCCGGAGCCTGCTTTGGATTCAGTGTCTCCCTATCTCTCTCTACCCATCTCCCACTTGTGTGTGCACGCAGGCTTTCTCTCTCAAAAACAAACAAACAAACAAACAAACAAACAGAAAAGAATATTCCAATTTAGATGAAGAAATGAGAGCTTATATCCCACCATGACCCCCAATGACTTCTTCCACCTGGTGTCCATGCCTGTGTATAATTCCTTCTCCTTGAGTGCAGATAGGACCAGTGAATTATTGCTAACCAAAAGAATATGGTAAAAGTGAGGAGATGTCACCACTTCTGTTATTACATTATCTTATGTGACGCTAGCTTACTAGACTGGAGCTAAAGCCTTTCCTGCCACCTTGAGGAAGCAGACAGCCATATGAACCACTCATGTAGAAGACCACATAGCAGGGAACTAGTGGCACCTCCCAGGATTTTTCAGGGGGAGGGGTGTCTGTAGCGGACAACCAGCAAAAAGATGGGGACTTTAATCCTACAACTGCAAGGAAATGAATTCTGCCAACACTCTAAATAAGCTTAGAAGCAGATTCTTCCTCAGTCAAGCCTCCAGATGAAAACACAGCCTGTCTAACATCTTGATGATAGCCTTGTGAGACCTGGAGCAGAGCCCCAGTTAGGCTGTGCTTGGACCTCTGATCCACGGAAACTGTTAGATAGTAAAAGTGTTGTTTTAAGTGCTAAATTTGTGGTAATTTGTTATGCAGCAATAGAAAACTAATAGAGAATATAAAAAGGTCCTACAAAAGCATTCAAATATTAATAAATATCAGTGACTCATTTTTGCCTATCAATATACAGTTGACCCTTGAACAGCATGGGGGTTAGAGGTGCCAACCCCTGCACGGGCAAAAATCTGTGTATAACTTTTGACTCTTCAAAAACTATAATATACCCTAGGAACTGAGGCCAGGGACTTCAGGATGAGAAAAGTAATTTAAATAAGAAAGAGCTCCAGTAGCTGGCAGAAAGTCATGTTGGAAAGGAGAAATGTACATGTGGGGGTCCTGGTGGATGCCTGGGGAAGAAACAAGTTGAATTCTTAGAAGGCTTCAGAAGTGGTCAAGGGGGCAGATGAGTTTGTGGTCCTGAGACCCCAGTTCCAATCTGTACTGTTTACACTTATCAACTGGAGTCTTGAGCAAAAATCTGCCTATACCTTCCCTCAAGGTTAAATTGTGTTTATTAGATTCAGGGTATGGCAGCCAAGTAGTAGCCATAATAGGGAGATAAATTAACCTGCTTCCTCCAAGGTAACTGGAGTCATTTGGGAACATCTCACTGTGGAGAGGATTAATTTACAGACTAACATAACTGGAGGAACATAAAGTTGATGCTTCCTCTTCCTCCTTCCCCAGGGAGAAGCCAAAAACTTATTTTGTATAATATAGAGTGACAGACAGATAGAAAGAAAGAAAAAGAAACCATCATATGGGTTCCAACTGAAATGTATGAGATCAAAATTATCTTAACAGTATTTAATTCCTCTTCATGCAAAGAGGCAGCCCTCTCATCATATGTAGCTGAAAAGAGAAATATTTTTGGCCACCTTGACATCTGTGAAAACACGCTCCCCTGTTCATTCCCAAATAGCTCATTTACACGTAAATGTACCCATAGTAGACAGGTATGGAGTGGTCATGTGAAAGTGCTGCAAGAATATGCTAAAATCAGTTCTTAAGACAACTCATTAAGGAACAACAACAACAACAACAACAAAATGGAAAAGAGAATAGTTGGCTGTATACCTCCAAACTTACCTGTATATACACACTGGTGTGACTAATGGGCTACAGTCCTTGAAAAGGTGTGTGGGAGTCAGGCGGGCTTGATTTTAGCTCAGGTCATGATCTCACACTCCTGAGATTGAGCCCTGTGTCAGCCTCTGTGCTGAGTGTGGAGCCTGCTTAAGATTCTCTCTCTCCTTCGGGGCGCCTGGGTGGCTCAGTCAGTTAAGTGTCCGACTTCAGCTTAGGTCACGATCTTGCGGTCCGTGAGTTCGAGCCCCGCGTTGGGCTCTGGGCTGATGGCTCAGAGCCTGGAGCCTGCTTCCGATTCTGTGTCTCCCTCTCTCTCTGTCCCACCCCCGTTCATGCTCTGTCTCAAAAATAAATAAACATTAAAAAAAAAATTTTTTTTAAATTCTCTCTCTCCTTCAAGTAATGTCTCAAATATATGACTTAACCTTACACCTAAAAGAACTGGAAAAAGAATAGCAAATAAAGCCCCAAAGTAGCAGAAAAAGGGAAATAATAAAGATTAGAACAGAAATCAAGGATATTGAAATAAAAAAAAAATAGAACAGGTCAATAAAATTAGGAGTTGGTTCTTTGAAAGAATTAACAACATTGATAAACCCCAGCCAGATTTGTCAAAAAGAAAAAGGAAAGGACCCAAATAAATAAAATCATGAATGAAAGAGGAGAGATCACAACCAACACTGCAGAAATACAAACAATAATAAGAGAATATTATGAGCAATTATATGCCGACAAATTGGACAATCTGGAAGAAATGGATAAATTTCTAGAAACATATAAACTATGAAAACTGAAACAGGAAGAAATAAAATTTGAACAGACCCATAACCAGTAAAGAAATTGAATCAGTATCAAAAATCGCCCAACAAACAAGAGTCCAGGGCCAGATGGCTTCCCGTGGGAATTCTACCAAACATTTAAGTATTAACTTAAGTTAATACTTATTCTTTTGAAGCTGTTACAAAAAAAGAAAAAAAAAGAAAAGAAAAGAAAAAAGAAAGAAAAAGAAGAAAGGAAAGAAAAGAAAAAGAAAGAAAGAAATGAAAGGGAAACTTCCAAACTCATTCTATGAGGCCAGCAGTACCTTGATTTCAAAAGCAGACAAAGACCTCACTAAAAAGGAGAACTATAGACCAATTTCCCTGATGAACATGGATGCAAAAATTCTCCACAAGATATTAGGACATCAAGCCCAACAATACGTTAAAAGAATTATTCACCATGATCAAGTGGGATTTATTCCTGGGCTACAGGGGTGGTTCAGTATCCAAAAACCAATGTGATATACCATATTAATAAAGGAAAGGATACAAACCACATGATTCTCTCAATAGATTTAGAAAAGGTATTTGACAAAATACAGCATCCTTTCTTGATAAAAACCCTCAAGAAAGTAGGAATTGAAGGAAC